TGATTTAACTCCGCTCTTCGACACAACCAACAACAGGCAAACAGGCAAGTCAGTTATGAATTGTCTCAAAGACCCAAAGGGGAAGGCTTCTAAAAATTATTTTGTTTTAAACAATTTCCTTGTGACTCTACTACAAAAAATTAGCCCTTGCACCCTTGACTATTCAGTATCCTATAGCTTCCTATTGCTAAAGCCGCTAACTAAAAGAAGGTCTCTGTTCAGAAACAGTTTGCATAACGATTAATGGGTGGATGCTATTCTAATGGACTGAAGCCATGCTGAAAAGCTACGTTCTCTTACTCTCTCTTCATGCTCTATTTAAAAAAACACAAAACACACAGAAATATTATTACTATCTCATCTTCCCATGGATCTTTTCTTAACTGTCCTCACTGCAACTTGTTTCATAACAGCTTGTGCTGACATCTTTGGGTCCACATGGGGGCAGAGAGCTGCTGGAATCTTTCTTGCTCAGTGGCTGCCGCTGCCTGCCTGACTATGAGAAACAACAAACAAGCCATCCTGAAGCACTGCACAACCTTGCTTGTTCATGCATAACATGCACTTGTGCTACAACTGATGACTATTCAAGAAATCCACACTCTCACTCAGATACGCACTGCAGAAACATATTTCCCTGCTCATTGAATGTGTGCTGTATATTTCCTAAATGCAGAGAACATTGAAATAACACAGAGACCAGTCTCACCAAAAAAATTAAATACAAAGTTGTGGACATAAATTGTGGCTAATGGTTGCAAAATATTATTTAGTTCATGTGTGCCACTTGTCCTCCTAACTAAGTAATGTTATTCCATAAGAAAAATGGCTACATCTTGGTAAATAAAATGTGCAATAAAACATCAAATCCACAAAATGGTTTTATAATTTAAAGTTTACTTGGTAGCCACAGGAGATACAAAAGTTCATCTTGTAAGTGCATAAAATTGTATACAGGTTGTCCTTGACTTACAAGCATTAGTTTAGTGACTGTTTGAAATTACAATAGCACTCAAAAATGACCTACAATTGGTCCTCACATTTATGACCATTGCAACATCCTCACACTCATATGATCAAAATTAGGGCATTTGGCAACGGATATGTATTGGTTGCAGCATATTGTGGGTCATGTAATAGACATTTGCAACATTCCCAGATGGTTTCCAGCAAGTAAATGGGGGAAGCCATATTTGCTTAAATACTGCATGATTCACTTAACTGCCATAATTGCCTAAAATATATGAAGAATGGTTGCAGGAATTGGGTATGTCTAGTTTAATGAAAAGAAGGACTAGGGTTGACGTGATAGCAGTGTTCCAATATCTCAGGGGCTGCCACAAAGAAGAGGGAGTCAAGCTATTCTCCAAAGCACCTGAAGGCAGGACAAGAAGGAATGAATGGAAACTAAACAAGGAGAGAATCAGCCTAGAATTAAAGAGAAATTTCCTGACAGAACAATTAATGAGTGGAAGAATTTGCCTTCAGAAGTTGTGGGTGCTCCAACACTGGAGGTTTTTAAGAAGAGATTGGACAACCATTTGTCTGAAATGGTATAGGACAGAGGTCTTCAAACTTGGCAGCTTTAAGACTTGTGGACTTCAGCTCCAAGAATTCTCCTGCCAGCATAGCTATTTGAGGACCCCTGGTATAGGGTTTCCTGCTTGGGCAGGGGTTTGGAATAGAAGATCTCCAAGATCCCTTCCAATTCTGATATTTCGTTATAATTCATTTAACAACTGTGGCAAAAAAGATCATAAAATTGAGCATGACTGACTTAACCGCCTTGCTTAGCAATAGAAATTCTGATTCTAACTGTAATCATAAGTCAAGGACTACCTGTACAGCTTAATGGGCTGATGGAAAAGGGACAAAATACTCAGTCCTATTTTAAAAGATAACATCTCCTTCATGTTGAATTCAGCTCCTGACAACTACACAAACACATTCATGCTATTTTCTTGAGAACAATATAGAAACAGTTTCTCATTGCCTTCATTTGGGATCCACAGTGTATGTCAAGATATACACTGCCTAATGATACTTTTAAACTGAATGACAAATCTCTGTCCCTTCTTTGCAAACCTATGGCAAGCTAGGAAAATTTTCTGCAGGTTAAGAAATAACGTCAGTTTATTTGTAAGGAAATTTGCAAGGAAATTTCTTATTTGTAAAGAAAATAGGTTAAACAATTAAACAATAGGTAATAGTACTTCAGTTACATAATTACAACCTCAGTAATTACTCAGCAAAATATTAATGCTTCTTGACTAATTTGTTTATAATAAAGCTAGTAAGGAATATTTATCATGTTTCTAAAACATCAGAGATTCTGTTTATGGCAAAAAGACATAACATGATGATTGCTAAGACTAGAATGTTTTCCCTAATAGCTGATTCATCCTGCTAGCATTTAGTTCCATTCTTCTTGGTTTTAATCAACAGACTGGACTTGCATAAAAGTCATCTTTAAGGGAAAGAAAGAAGCATATATTTTCCTGGGAGTCTATAAAAATGGAATCAACTATTCCTGCAACTCTCAAAAAAAGTTACATGGATTTGATATACATGTATTTCATTCTGCTTTAATTGTTTTAACATTTTATTTGTTAACCACCTTATGGATGGAAAGGCAACAAATGCACCCAATAAATAAACAATAACACCAAGATTGGCAAATATGCAAAAATATGCAGGAAGAAAAACCAATGGGATGCTCCAAAATAGCCTAAGGACTCAGAATGCAGACTGTACTGACAATAGAGTGATTACTGCCATCGAAAAGGGAAAGGGAAATGTAGGGAAGGGAAATGTAAGACATGCCCCTCAGAAGGGCTTGGCTAAGGAAAGGACACTGTAACACTTTATTAAAGATTCTGTGGGTTAAAAGGGAAACATTTTGATGATACTGATACCTGCAGAGTAAAAGGATTTTGTTTTTAATGTTCTTCAGCTTAATAAAAAAATGTCCCCAAGGTAGAGATATGTGCACTAAAGCCAAACATGCCTGAAATATTTTGTTGCCTCGTAGCAAAAAGATCTGCACGCTGGACTGATTGATATTTCTGTCTGGTGCTCATATACAGCCTGATTCTAACTAAGCTAATTAATCATCTTTGCCCATTGAAGGCAAAAACAAAAAAGAAAGAAAGAAAGAAAGAAAGAAAGAAAGAAAGAAAGAAAGAAAGAAAGAAGAGGTGAAGGGGAGATAGCCAGAGTCTGGAAGGCTAAAAGTGCTGGGGATTTAATTATTTTATAGGTTTATTTATTATATAATTTTTTTCTGCCCATATGGCACCAAGTGGGACAATTCAGAAGTAAGGGGTTTCTACTTTAACTGCACCTATCAGTTTACATGTTTTGGCCAAGTCATTCAATATTCCTTTATACAAGGATTATTTTTAACAAAGATGTTGGATGGAATATAATACCATCACCAGATTATTCTGAAATTGTGGCATTTTGCTAAATAAATATATTCTAATATGTTTACCCTATTGGCTTGAGCTTTGGAAAGCCCCAAACATTCTCATTGATATGGAACACTAAGAATGTAAACCTTCCTCTACTTGCAGTTGATATTCCTGACAATTCTCATTTTCTCCCTTGGCCACACAATATTGTCCTCATTCCGTCCCCAGCCCATATACAGTATTAAACAGTCTTAACCTGCTTCTTTGTAAACATCTTCTGTTTCTTAAGCTAACCTCATCCTATGATAGCTTCACATTTTCAAAACCTTTAGCAGTGTTTTTATATCTTGGTGTAAAAAACAGATGTGTTTTGGGCATGACCAGAGGTGTGTTTGAGGAATGTCAGAAGGCACAGATAAACTCCTTCTCTTTTTATTCTAGCCAGCCTATGTCATAGCTATTTCTTTAACAGGATTCTCCATTAATACTTCCTTTCTCCATTAATACTTCCTTTCCCGAGTTCCTTTTCATATCATCACCCACCACTCTCTATTTTTGCAGACAATTTCTGTCCAGATGGGGTAGATTACATTCTCTGCATGCTTATGGAGGCTATGACTAGAAGGGACATGTAACTGGGACAACTTCATTTGGAAAGAAGTTAACCACATATTAACTCCTTTTCCAGGCTTTGTATGATATACTAGGCTATGGTTTCGCTGAGTGGATCTGCAGCAAACGATGGCTTCAAACTATGGTTGAACTCTTGCTTCACTGACACTTAATCTATTTAATCCATGATCTGCTTCAAGTAGCACACTAGGCTTACTCACAAGATAATTTATTATAATAGAACCAGTTTTAATTTGTGACTGAATATGTATTCGTCATTAGTAGATGTTATAAGCATAAGATTCCACCTAGCATTCTAGGACAAACCAGCAATGAATGACTCCCAAATTCGTGGAAACAAAAGTCCCTGAAATGTGCATAGGGAGTATATGGAACACTAAGACTGAAGGACTGGATAGCATGCACTTTCTTAAAGTTGGTGTCACCACTGTAGTTTCCATTTTGCTTCAAGTTTAAACTTGCTGCTAAGAAGCTGAAGTAAGGTCGAAGATTACTGGCTGATACCCCATTAAAAAGCATCTTCAGGATACCAACTTACTGAGTTCACTTGGAAAGAAATAATTTATTCAGATCTAAAGATTGAATTCTATAATTACCCTGATCAAGATTTCGTTTGTGGCTCTTCTATGACAGGATAAAAGGTTTCAGATTGAGATTATAAACAGAGTACCTAAATTAAGAATTATCACTATAACATTTTGGAAGTTCTAATTATAATTAATAACCTAGATGTCTCCATTGATAAAAAAAAAAAATGGGAGTTAGGCCAAAAAGGAATATCCTACATGGCAGAGAATTTATGTAGTATAAATTGGGATGGGTGGGTGTAAATTCATTCACTTAAGAGACAAACCTTGGAGAAAAAGTGTGTTGAATGTTATGTAATCTGTGTGTGTACAAATTCACCAGGAACCACAGTTGCCATAGGGACTGTAATTGTGACTTGGAGCCTGGATGGGTGGGTGTCTATGAGCTCGGTCTGAAGAGAGAGTCCATGATATGAAAAATCTGGAATAGAAGAAAACTTTGCTCTGGCAAAATTACTTTCCATGTGAGGGGTCCCATTCCTGGTTTTTCTTTGTTATAATGGAAGAACTGGGATCTTCAGAAATAGAGGCACATTATCAATGCCTTGTAAATGGAGGGACATTTTGTCAGATGGCTGAAGCCTAAACTGCAGATGAAGTAAACTTCTAGCCTTTATGACACCACTTTATCGATCTGGACAAGTTGTGGGTCATTGTTGGCTGCTTGATAGCCTAGCTTTTTCCTAGTCTCTAAGGACTACATAGGATACTGCTGAATCCTGAATCTCTCTGCAGAAGACAAAAGGCTGGAGAAAGGTACAATAGGTTTGAAATGGCAAGAGTTTGAGGATAAGAGGTTTGAAGAGGTTGTTTAAATTGGATAATTTGCCTACCTCAGCTGTATCATGAGTCAGTTGTGCATGGTATGGAATAATGTTTTGCAGAACTGAATTCAAACGTGTTTACCTTTGCATCTTTTAAATGAAGCCAAGTTTTAGTAATATGCCATCTGGTTAAGACAACTGCTGGACTAAAATGCTTCTATTGTAGATGTTGATGCTATTTTTTAAATGGGAAATCCACAAATGTTACAATTAAATTGTTGTTCTCCTGTAATTTTCCTAGTTATAGTCTTGATTTTTTTTCCTCCTCCAGACTCCAGAAAATCCAGCTGTTATAGAAAAAAAAAAGAATAATAGTGAAAATCTTCAGGTATGTATTACCTCAGCATTACCTTTTTTTTTTTTTTTGAAGAGGCATGGTTTTGATATGACAGTAATGTATTAACTTAATGGGTTGATTAATGGGTGTCCCCACTTTATAAAGTCATTTGCAATTTTCTGTGTAGGTTTATAATAGATTATGAAGCACTAGGTAATAAACATCAATGTGCCCACAGATGCTGCTACTAAATGGGAATATTTGGAGTTGTAATCCAGGACATGCTATATTTTTAGATTGGGTCTGGTTTGAATTTTTTTAATTCTTTTTTTTTCTTTTTCCTTTCTTCCTTACAGAAAATATAATAGTTTGTGTTCGTACTATAACTATAGTTATTGGAAATATAAAAAATTCTTGCCACCTATTTTGTAAACATCTAATTAAAGAACTTTTATCTGTTCTTAGTATCGCTTTTTAAAAGCAGACTCCTGCTAAAATAAAACCATTGCCTGGTAAAATTATTGCACTTCTATTTCCAGTAATAATTAAACTTTCTCTTATTTTTCCCGGCCTCCCAAGGACACAGGACCGAACGGCCTGCTAATCTGTCTTCTAAACTCCATGCTGTCGGATGAAGGTAAAAAAGGTATATCATCCAAAAATAAATAAATTAGAGAATTGGTATCTGCTTAACAGCCATAGAATTGTCAAATGAATGTTCTGCATTAAGATTGTAGATCCATGGGGAACAATGGTAAGTAGCAATGGAACATCAGGGCAGAAGAGGACAAGAAAGAGAATTGTTGGAGGGGAATACAGAAGGCAGAAATTCCTTCTTCACCATACAATACTTTAAAATGTCAGAGACAATCTTAAATAGTGCCTAAAATTGGAAAATTAATTGCAATTAATTTTTAGATTACACTAATATACCACTGTTAATATTGTTATAGAACATAACCGATAGTAAAGGTAAGTAGAACCCACCCCTGCTCCCTCCCTCCCAAATTCAAACATTCTTCCTCACTGGAGGGAGCAATCGTAACATTCCAGGCCATAGCCTGTTGAGACAACCAAGCTTTCCTATCTTTTCTGAAAGCCAAGAGGGAAGAGGTTATTCCAGTAACAGGAATCTAGTTATTCCCAAGGAACGGCTGCAATGAAAAAGGAACATTTCCTCAGTCCCTACAGATGGCATCCCTAAGAGAAGGGATCCAATGAACTTGTGTATCTCCAAAGCCACAAGTAGTCATTTGAATTACTGTCTTCTAGTCTTCAGTAGAAAACTACTGTTTTCTAGAATAAGCTTCAAGGGCAGTCCATGTAAAGCCTATTGCCATAATCCAATCATGTATATGCTCCCATGAGCAGCCATGACTGGTGTTGTTAAATGCTGTAATGTAACCATGTGAAACTTAAGACTTACCTGTCTAATGCCTGGTCTATGGGTCTATGAAATGCATTAGCTTCATGTTTACATGGAAGGTGAGATGTTATAGTTTACACCAGTGGTGGGATTCAAGTAATTTAACAACCGGTTCTCTGCCCTAATAATTTCTTCCAACAACCAGTTTGCTAAACTGCTCGGAGAGTTAACAACCGGTTCTTCCGAACTGGTGTGAACTGGCTGAATCCCACCACTGGTTTACACCCTCCACCTTTTATGGGAGAAAATATTTCCTCAGGTTGAAGCTGGTCTGTCTTGCTTTGGGACATTCTTCCCACCAAATGATGGTCGCAGGGTTTGCTTTAAATGCCATAGGTATGAAAGAACTGGGACACGTAACTGATAGTTCTGCTTCTCTTGTCTTCATATTTTTTCTTGATATGATGTTATCCGCTTTCTTTATATATTTACTGTATGTACATGGTGTCAATTGTGCTGACAGGGCTTTCTTTTTGTTTTTTATTTCTATTAGGACTTAACCTAAGGGCTCTCTGACAGCTTGTCTCCTTTGAATGGGTCAGATATTAGGATCAACTTGGATTTGGAGGTATGTTCAGTTCTTTAGCTATAACAGACTCCTAGGCTGCCATATCTCTGGCTGAGATGGGGTGCTGACCAGCCTAATATTTAATATGACAGCAGGAACCCAGACCAGTTTGTTCAACCCTTATATGAGCTCCCGACATAAGAGGGATGAGTTGATTAGTTGTGTGGTCCATGGAACAGAAGCTCTAAAAACTGAAATGGCAAGGATGGTCCTAGTGACTATGGCTGTGGCATCATGGGACATATACTGGAAGATCTCTATTTCCCTATCTTCTTGAAGCTTGGAGGTGTCTTCTCCATTCTTATTTTCCATGGTGCTACCATAGGGACTTGAAACTCAATATTAAGAAAACTAAGATCATGGTATCCAGCCTTCTCAATTCCTGGCAAATAGATGGGGAAGAAATGGAGGTAGTGACAGACTTTATTTTCCTGGGCTCCAAGATCACTGCAGATGGGGACTGCAGCCAAGAAATTAAAAGACACTTGCTCCTGGGGAGGAAAGCTATGGCAAATCTAGACAGCATTCTAAAAAGCAGAGACATCACCATGCCAACAAAAGTGCGTATAGTCAAGGCTATGGTTTTCCCAGTTGCAATGTATGGCTGTGAAAGTTGGACCATAAGAAAGACTGAGCACCAAAGAATTGAGGCCTTTGAACTATGGTGCTGGAGAAGACTCCTGAAAGTCCCTTGGACCGCAAGGCGATCAAACTGGTCAATCCTAGAGATCAACCCTGACTGCTCTTTAGAAGGCCAGATCCTGAAGATGAAACTCAAATACTTTGGCTACCTAATGACAAGGAGGGATTCACTGGAGAAAAGCCTAATGCTGGGAAAGATTGAGGGCAAAAGAAGAAAGGGACAGCAGAGAATGAGGTGGCTGGATGGAGTCACTGAAGCAGTAGGTGTGAGCTTAAATGGACTCCAGAGGATGGTAGAGGACAGAAAGGCTTGGAAGAACATTGTCCATGGGGTCACAACGGGTCAGACATGACTTCACAACTAACAACAACTAGTTAGGTTTTGAGATGATAATGTTTGAGGGAAAACAACCCAAAAGGAGTCCACCACCATACTGAGCTCTCTCCACCAGCATCCAGCCTGCCTTTCCTCTGGGACTTTGTTGAATACCTCAAGGAAGGAGAGATACAAGGTAGAATGGCTGGCCAAAGAATATCTCTGCTGCCAAATAATCTTTTAGCAGAGCCAAAAGGGAAGCAATTTTGCTTCTTTGAGGCTTAGAACATTGTCAGTCCTACAGGATAGGGTTGATAAGAAAGCCAACTACACAGGAATATTAGAGTTAGACAGTATTTTATTGAAATTGCCTATATTAACATAATCTTGCAAACCTCATTGTATTCTACTGTACATCTCCTCCTTCTTATACCCCAGTGAATCAGGGAGGAGCCTGCTTGACTCTCTTCCAGATATTATCTTGTTTTCTAAGTCTAAAGGAATGTTTCAGCCCTCTTTGTTTATGTAATATTTCTTGCCTATTTCATCTCTCTGACACTCTATTAGTATTGCAGATTTTTCTGACATGCTTCAGGAATTCTGATTTTTAGAGCATTCAGATTGATTTAGAACTGGCTGTGGTTCGTATTCATTGTCTAGAGACAGCTCTATCTTTTCCCTGTCTCACTGATTCTGAAAGGAGATATCATGGGCAATGATGTGAAGACTGTGTGCACCTCTCTCCATTTGGTTGGCTGGTCCATTTATAAGGATGACACAGGCTTGAGCCAATTGGTTGATAGAAGGTCTTGGTGAAGGAGGATACTTGACATAAGGAAGGAAGATGAGAGTTGCCCAACTTAATACGCTGTAACCTTCCTGGGGATCTCTGGGAGATTTGAGGGGAAGGCTGCCTGGAGTAACTACTTGCTACTGTTCATTCAGTGATGAGTGGTGATAGGATTGGACAATTGGTGCTTCTATCTATTCTGATACTCTTACTTTGCAGCTCCTGTAAGGAATAGCAATAGGCCTTCTTATGGCTGTCATGGATACATGGGACACACATGTAGCCCACACTTTATAAACTATAGTGTTGGTTGAGGAGAATGTGAGGGAGAAGCAAAAGGGCACACAGGAGTATCTCCGGAAGGAAGCCTCAGGGATCACAAAGGTCTCCAAGTCTGCATCTCCAGACAGCCAATCATTGGTTCAGTAACCATGCCGAGGAAATGAAAAATTATCTGTCAATATCAAAAGAATCCTAAGTGGAATTGCTGGGAATCCATGTTCTCCAGAGCAGGACAAGGAGACATCTCCTTCCACAAGAAGCATCATCAAAATGTTGATGTAACTAACATTTGAGGTCTTTACTGGTTCAAAGCAGCAATTTGTCTAGTATACCCTCTGTTAGAGATCTAATATATACTAAGCCTGGTATCACCTTGAAAGTAGGCTTGTTTCTGTTAAAGGCTTTCCATAAAACATTGGTGTTGTCTTCTTTACCTGTTATCATTTTGAAAATGGATCCAGCTTTTTTTCTGCCCCTATCTATTAAAGCACGAGTGTCCAAACTTTTGACTTGCCTGGGCCATAGAGAGTAAAGAGAAATTGTCTTGGGCTACATATAAAATATATATTATAGTTAAAGTATATAAAACATCACTAAAAATCACGTAATAATGTTAACAATTTCCAATCATATGGGTCTGCATTACTGTAGCACGTGGGCCCTGGCTTGGACATACTCATTTTAAAGTCTCAACTATTTTTTAAAAAATTTGGTAAAACTTAGACTTAATCACTGTATATAAAGTTTGGTACTTTGAAAAGTTTTGTTATTTATCATTTTGAAATTATTTTAACATTGCTGTGGGAATTCTGAATTACATCTCCACTCCAGAACTTGTCATTTGAGATTAGTGTGCCAAGTTTTGTGTGTTTCTCTTTGTGCATGTTCAGGTGTGTATGAAAGCTGAATATGGAAAAATAGACAAGCACTGTGGTTAACAATGAAATCTAAGCCTTCTTTATAATAGATTAATTATGATTGATTTGTTTTATTTAAATCCTATAGATTTAATGAGCCTATTCTAGATAGGGCTAAATTGTGAATTTCATCCTAGTAAAATAATAAAGGTTGAATTTTTGTGATGGCATTTATATTCCTCAATAAATTTGTTCTGGTTTTTTTAAAGCTATGTATGTAGAATTAAATTTGAAAGAGCTTCTGCTGAGGCATGTGCAAAAAAAGTAAAATGAATGAACGTTGGAAATTTGCCATATAAAAATAAAAGCTCAGATAATTATATAGTAAGGGTTGGATATAAGCCAGTATAAAAAAAGAAACATTATAGGGGTAAAGGTTAAGAGAATATAGTTTAAAATGAAAAGTTACTCCCTGAAAGTGTATTTAGCTGGGGAAAACAAAGTTACCTAATTTATACAATGCACTTAGGCTATGGTCTGTTTAATTATAGTTTATTATATCACCATTGGGTAGGATTCCCAAATATGCTGAACCATCAACTTGGTTTAAAAATTACAATGGGCAGGCTCACATAATAAACTCTGTCAAAACCAATCAAACCACATTATGCGTTAATGTGATATATGAACCCAGGACATGCATTAAGAACTAAATGCTTATTTAAGTTATATATTTAAGCATTCGCATTTTACCAGTAGAAAAACAGCTCTACCTTCTATGACATTAATTATTGTATATATAATTTGTTCATTTCGTAATCTTTTCTCTAGCAGTAGTCTCAATCCCAAATCTTCTGTATGTTACAGGAACCAAGATATAGAGTTTCTAAAAAGTCGGAGTTCATGGATTTTTTTTTGCAGGGGGGAGCAATGATTTTACAGTGGAGGCAGATGTTCTCTGATGTCTGTTTGAAAAGTTTTTAAAACCGTGTTAATAGGGAGTTCTATAGATACAAGTCTGAAGTGGAACCGGCATATTATATCACTAGAAGTTTACCTCTTTAATAACTTACACACTTTCTGAGAGGCCCATAAATCTGATTCTGCAATGTTTTACCATGGGATGCCATCTAAGCCCCCAAATCGCAAGGCAACCTAACAGCACAGTCTGAAACAATTTCAAAAAGAGAGAATGCATGTTTGAAGATACCTAAAATGCATTCAGCACCACTCTTCTCGTAACCTTAAAAATCTAATCATGGGATGTCCTTTCATGTTTTTCATCAGGAAATTCCTGGTTCATGCATCTAAACTTTACTTACAAGTCATCCTGACACCAATGGGAAACAGGGCCTTCTCCAAGACTAAGTTTTCTGAGTAGTCAGGAAACTCTGTGGGCTTAAAGGTTTTTTTGCCCCTGTGTGTGGCCAATATCTGCCACCAGAAGAATGCTGGCCAATGGTGCTTTCTTTGTAGGGAATCTCAAGAATGGACTGGTGGATTCCCTCCCTTCCATCAAATGCCACTAGCTACAGGAAGGAAAGAATGGCCCTGATAGACAATACCTTGGAATCAAAGGGGACAGTGCAAGCCCGCACCAGCTGAAAATAGTCAATAGGTGCCAGGATGATCCCACTGAGGGTCACTGGAGTGACCCCACACCACCATATCCAATTACACCCCTAGCAAAACTGCCATGGATTTTTGCCTGCGTAAAAGGAAAAAGCACCCACTCAACTAAGGACCACTTGAAGCAGCTTGAGATTCAGTTTGGGGATGAGATGAAGACAATGTCATGAGGACATGGCAGGAAAAAAAAAAGAGATTTCTGGGCCAGGTTTGATCTGGGGTTAGATGTGACTGTGGAAAAGCCCCATTCAAATATAACAGAAATCTTTTTGTAATAGAGCAAAACTTGCCCTGCTTACTATAAAAACCCAACAGAAACATTTTAGAAGCACCTTAGCCCTCTCTTATTTTTGTTTCTTAGCAACTGGTAGTCAGGCATATTGTCTCTGAACATGAAAGAAGCATGCAGTTTGATTACTTAAAGGTTGTGCTTAAAATCAAGAGCCAGGGTAAAGAAAAAGGTGTTGAATTTCAATGAGAAAAA